CAATAATTACAAAAAAAAAAAACAAAATGATAGGAAATTGATGACAATATAAGAAATGAAATATTATTAAAAGGATAAGTGCTGATTAGATAAGAGATGATTAAATAAATAAATGAAAATAATAATTTTTAAAAAAAACAAAAGTTTAGTTACAAGATCATTTACATTTCATTTTTAAAAATTTGATATTTCTAAAGAACGGAAGAAAAAAAAGGAAAGGAAAAGAGAAGATATATATGGAAAAAAAAGTGGTTAAAGGAAAAATTTGTCAAGTAAAGTAAGGATTCATTATTAAAATTAACATTTAATTTTATTTAATAATGAATAATAATGTAACAAACCGGAAATTTGAAAACCATTTAACCAATTGTGCGGTGTTATTTTTGTTAAAACGAATATCCGGAAAATAAGATTTCAATAAAGCCGAATTCGGATAACGCGTATAAAAAAACATCAATTTTGCCTTACGCAAATGCATTGGTGTTAAAGTTGAACTGAAAATTTCTATTTTTTTTCTTATTTCTTTCTTTTTTAAAACTTAAATTTTAATCAATTTAATCAAAAAATTCAATCTTACAAAAATGAGTCAAAATTTTCATAATAGGAATAGAAATTTTATTGTTTAATTATAATAGATATTATCATTACACAAACCTTCCACCAATACTTCCATCATAAGGCCCACAATCGCTTGCATCATCCGAATTGATTGGACTATCCTGATCATCAGTACCAAATGTACCACCACCGTATAATGGATGACCAACCATTGTTGGTGGAAAATATGATGATAGCTAAAAAATTATTTGTATATTTAAAAGACTCCAATATTTATATACCTTAAATTAAATTAAATTAATTAACAAACTAATTTTGCAATAGTTTTTTATAAATAAATTATAAAAATAACTTAAACAGTAAATTTAATAATTTTGAATCGTTTTTTGTTTTTATTTCTTTTTTGCAAATATCAGTTTTTGAAATTAATTTAAAAAAAAATATATATTACTTGCGGTGAAGATCGGGCGCTATTGGGAAGTGAGGATACTTCACGATTAGCAGCAGCTATTGGTTGAATTTTATTTATCCGTGACGAATCCGTTACTTTGGATCGTTTCTTTCGTGGTGCAAATGAACTATAATATTGTTTGAAAAATTTTACAAAAAAAAAAAACTAACAATATTTGTAGAAAATACAATATTTCTATTTCATAGCTTTTTTTTTTTCTCTCCATCAATATTTCTATAAAATAAATTGAAATAAAAATAAATTCATCAAAATTTCGAGGAAAAAAAATTTTGAAATTTCAAAAGAAACATGTATTTGCACCTTAAATCATCCATTTTACGAAATGCTGCAGTAGCTGGTGATGCTGCTTTCAGATGCGGAACAAATGGATTGAAGGTTGTACGAGGTGCGGAAGCAGCCGGAAAAATACCGGGTGGATGATGTGATGGTGGTGTTAATGGTAGGTTATTTTGTATAAATGGATTTGGAAAAGGACCAGATTGACCGTTGAAAGAATGATACAAAGGATGGAAAAGAAATGGATTTCGATTAATAACAACAGATGCTGCTTGTTCACGTTGCTGTTCCACAAGTGCCGCAGTTGTACGTTGCGCACTGATAGCTGCTTCCGCAGCTATGAATTCAGCTATAATCTGAAATTTAGCGAATTCCATTATAATTTAAGCAAAAGGGATAATATATAAGATCATGAATGACATATATGAGGAGATGGGATAAAGTTTCAATAAAATTAAAAATCTTCAGTAATTATTTGATAATGTTATTAATTAATTATCATAATATCATACCTACTCCTAAATCTTATATAAGTGCACAAAATAATCGTTTAGTTTTTCAACAAATTTTGATTTTAAATATTCGTTAATCTTATACAAATCAATACCTTCAACCACATATCGTAATTTTTTTACTATTCATTTAATTCAAAATGATACTATATGTTACTTTCACATCCATTCTTCCATCCCCTTCACTTTGATAAAAATAATGAATTATGATAGCATAAATATACCTTATCTACACTACTATTTAATCCATTAATAAGTTCTTGCTTTAATGAATGTGCTAATTTAGCATAATCTCGTTGAATTTGTTGTTGTATAAGTTGAATTTGTGCTCGCTTTTGCTCTTCATTATTTACGCCCAATAATTTTTTCTGTTGTTCAATCCAATTCGAATAAATTCGTTTTTGTATATCAATCATTTCTTGTACCCTATTCTATAAACAAAGTAATCTTTGTAATATGTAAATAAAAAAAAAGAAATGGAAATAAAAATTATTGAAAATATTCAAGAAAAAAAAATTATACAATGACCAATAGATATTTATTAATTCAATGAATTTAATTTCGATTCAATTTTAAACTTGATTTTTTTCCAATTAATTTTGTTATAGAATAGATAAATATATATATATATATATATATATATATATATATATATATATATATATATATATATATATATATATATATATATATATAT